CCCCTCGGGGCGCTCCTATTTTATGTAAGTCATAGGGCTCCCCCTATTGGTGGTTTACCCTTAGATGGACTCCCTGCAGACGGGCGGGAGTTGAGATATAGCCTGGCTTCAGATATAGCCTAACCCATCTGATCAGAAAATAAGTTCTCATTCCAGATGTCCCTAAGGCGATGAAGGTTGTTCCTCTGGATTTTAAATTCCAGGGGGACGACCCTGGAGCAAGCAGGAGGCTGCAACTACGTGATCAAGTGAGGCAAAATCAAGTTGCAAACATGATTCTGAAAAGCGACCCAAAAGGACATCAAATAATTCAGATGGTGGCATCTCAGTGGCAGCCTCAAGAGCAACATGGTGGGTGACCTTGGTGGAGCCAAATTGCTCCAGATTACTCACTCAGACCTTCTAAATCCACAATTGCCATCATTCGCCAGATGTTAATGTGTGCTATAAAGGTGAGCTATAAACAACCAAGCCATTTCTAACAAGGTAGATTGAGGATAAAAGAAATCTGGGTCACAGGAGGCTTAGGTGCTGCTGCATCAATTAGGTGTGGTTAAATGTACTTTGGGCAGGTGAGCGCAAAGTAGTCCTGGTGGCATGCCTACCTCCTCCTCAGTCTCCTTCCTCCTGAGCGAAAGCAAATCAAGTCAGAAGAACTGGTGAGGCTGAATAGGCATTCTTTGACTTTTCTTCAGGGCAGCAGTAGCAGGGCGAGTGGGCAGAAAGCCTTTATGGGATCCAGTATGGAACTCCCAGTTTAAACAGCAGGATCACCTTTAACTTAGCCTAAGGTAAAGGTAAAGGGACCCCTGACCATTATGTCCAGTCGTGACCGACTCTGGGGTTGCAGCGCTCATCTCGCTTTATTGGCCGAGGGAGCCGGCGTACAGCTTCCGGGTCACGTGGCCAGCAGGACTAAGCCGCTTCTGGCGAACCAGAGCAGCGCATGGAAACGCCGTTTACCTTCCCGCCAGAGCGGTACCTATTTATCTACTTGCACTTTGACGTGCTTTCGAACTGCTAGGTGGACAGGAGCTGGGACCGAGCAACAGGAGCTCACCCCGTCGCGGGGATTCGAACCGCCGACCTTCTGATCGGCAAGTTCTAGGCTCTGTGGTTTAACCCACAGCGCCACCCACATCCCACTAACTTAGCCTTTGTTGTTGTTTAGTCGTTTAGTCGTGCCCAACTCTTCGTGACCCCATGGACCAGAGCACGCCAGGCACCTCTGTCCTCCACTACTTCCCACAGTTTGGTCAAACTCATGCTGGTAACCTCAAAAACACTATCCAACCATCTCGTCCTCTGTCACCTAACTTAGCCTACCTATGCCCAAAAAATGGCTAGAAGCCACAATAGCTACGTATAACCTCCAGCATCAGAGGCAATCCATGCTGAATACCATGCTGAGAATCGCAGGTGGGGAGAGCACTGTTCCATTGAGATACTACTTGCAGGTTGGCCACTATGAGAACCAGATGCTGCATTATGATGGACCTTTGGCCAGATCCACTAGGGCTTACTTCTCAGGTTCTTAAGAAAGATTCTTCGGCCAGCTCAGAGTATCAGGACCAGACTGATGAAGTCATTTTCATCAGCTCAGGGTCCCTCAGCAAATTTGCAGCAGAAAACCTTGTCTCTTGGCAAGTTCATGGTCTGTAATGATCAAACATCACTGGAGATACCACAGTAGTGGATCTACCTTTACATCAGGGGGCTCCCCAATGGGCCTGGTGGTGCAGCTTTCTAGTCTGCAAATCTGCTTGCCATGAGTCCTGCAATATGTGCTCCTGGTTTGTGTAGCTCATTTCCACCTGGCCTCAGAGGACAGGGACTGACTCCAGCTACAAAGTCTGCTTTTGCTGCTCGGAATATCTAAAGACCATCAGGGTGGGGTATTGTTTAGGGTTTGTTGCTGGGGAAAGATTTAGGCTCCATCTGCATTATACATTTAAAGTGGTATCCTGTTGATAACTGATAACTGAGTTGGATTCAATCAAGTGAACATTTGAAAGTAAAGCAACAACAAGTCCCTGTTAATATCCAAGTAGGAATAAAGGATTTATTTTCAATACAAAAATCGGATTTTGTTTTGTGCAACATAAAACAACATTCGTGCAAGTTTTCCAAACAGAAAACGAAACTATGAAGGTGCTTCCAACACGATTTGAGGTCACTAGTTGGTAAGGCAATTTTTGATACATACAAAATACAGATGAGTGCAGAAAACAATGGCTTTTTGATCCAAGTCAAGATTATTTCTGACAGATGTACACCACCACTTTGTGTCTGACATGGATAATTTTATTGGAATGGTTTCACAAAACGCTTTTGAGTGTTGTGAAATAGAAACAGCAGTGTTATCCCAGAGATAACTTTCCCCTCACAGAGGATCACCCTTCCACGTTTGTTATGCCACAGCTGCTGACTTCCCTGAGCAAAGCAAGTTCTTTTATCTCTTAAGTATAAAATGAGGGGTAAAGCAGTCACTCTCTAGTCACCAGGAAATAAGGTGGGCAGTTGCAAAAGTAGTCAGGGCTTTTGCTGCTCCAATAGTTGTGCAGAAGACAGAATTTCAGCTGATGCACCTTTTAATGCAACTTACCTCTGCTGAATCCCCTCTTTTTCACAACTATTAAAAGGTGCAGAAGCCCTGTTCTCTGTTTCACATCTGACCATCTTATCTACAAAGGCATGGCAGTCCCGCTTGCAGAATGTTTATTAAAGAGGAACAAAGCTGAGTTTTCCGATTCCACAAAAGTGGATTAGAACGAGCTTGTTCTACAAGTTACAGCACAAACACTTGCATAGTCACTATAAAAGCAATTGCATCATAAACAAAACATTGAAGGGAGAACAGGTTTATAAATGTGCAATTAATATAAAACTCTGCTTACGGCCGATATTGGCTCAAAAAGGTGGCATAACACTCGTACAGACGAATGCTACAAGCTTGTTTCTTGAGAGCTCAAAACCACCGGGGATTTTCCATCTCTTAATAGTGGTATTCGGAGCATGCCCTGACTTAATTGCAGGGCACAATTAATTGAACGTTCTTAAACAGTTCACTGTTTGGCAACGGAGCAAAGAGTTTGAAAAATTGCTAATACAGTTTGAGTCAAATTCTAAATATATCTAGGTGGTGATAGGAATCTTACATTTTCTTAGATATATCAAAAGAATTGCTTTAATTCCCAGCTTGCTAATTCAGACAGGAAAATATTTTCATGTTACAAAACTGGAATTTGATTTTACTTTAATCTCCAAGTTTATTTTATTATTACCAAAATGGGGGGGGGGGGGTAGAATCCAATTACATTAATATGATACAGTGGTACCTCGGGTTAAGAACTTAATTCATTCCGGAGGTCCGTTCTTAACCTGAAACTGTTCTTAACCTGAGGTACAACTTTAGCTAATGGGGCCTCCCACTGCTGCCACCGCCGCGCGATTTCTGTTCTCATCCTGAAGCAAAGTTCTTAACCCAAGGTACTATTTCTGGGTTAGCAGAGTCTGTAACCCGAGGTACCACTGTTCAAGACAATTAGAAAGTGCAATGCAAACAATAATAATCAAACCTGTAAATTAAAACAACCAATCTCAACTCGCTTTGGCTCGGTTCCTTCTAGAGTCTGTATGCATGCTTGAGAAACTGTGGGCACAGCACATCAAGTTATGTGAACTGATTTCAAGTGTGCCTGCATATAGACCTTAAGAGTGCAGTCCTATACATGTCTACTTAGAAGTGTGTTTTTTAAAAATATATATATATATATATATATATTCCCTTTTGCCAGTGATCCCTGGGAATTCTAGTACATTTTAAGTGAGGCTATTGTTTGCTTTCAGAATCCTCTGCTCCTCTGCAAACTACAGTTCTCAAAATTTCTGGGAGAAAGCACAATAAACTGGTATAAGACAGATGCAGTTTATAACGCAGATATATAACCTTACATTTCTCCATTTGTTAATCACTTTTCCCTAGCTTTTAAAAAAGTGCAATATGCATTTTAGATCAAAGCTTCCAAAACCAAAATGTTTCATGGGCTTAGGATCCCTGTGCCAATTTACATCATTAGCAGAATCGTATAGTAACACTTTACCTGGACTGTGCCACTTAAAACTGCAAGCCAAAGATCACATCGATCAGAATGCTTCCCTATGAAAAAGCCCCACTTCCAAAACCACACACACAGAAAGTTAGCATGCCCAAGAAAAGCTTGAACTGCTAGCTTTCTATGGCCAGTGATATTCAGAGCCTGAAGTGGCAAGTTCCAGGAAGTAACAACTATACTCCCATGATTCTTTTGATGAACTTGGCCCTACAGTTTCAGCTTGTGTTTGAGATGTGAAACTTTGTACTTGATTGCGCACAGAATCCACTGCGGTCATCCTGGTAACCTATCCTATCTTATGCATTTTCAACACAGTCTTAGGCATATTTACTCATAAGTATATCCCCTGTCCAATTGTAATCATTCCCAAATATGCATGGAAATGCAGCTTTTCGTCTGCTTGTCCCTTCGCCAAGTCTTTTCCCACTCCAATTTCCCTGTCTCCAGACCAACAGCATCTGATGTATTAGGATGATTATGAATGCAAATTCAGTGTTTATTAAGGAAAAACTAAAACTAAAACTAAGTTTATAGTGCTGGGTGGAGGAAAGGTGTGTGTGTGTGTGTTTTTGTGTGTGTACATTTTTGGGAACTCTAAGCAGAGATGAACCAATCACGGCATTCAACCAGCCTCAGTGGCATTTCATAGCTAAAGAGAAAGGCTTCTTTGGGAAAGATTGGAAAGGCGGTTAACACACGCAGTCTCACCTTCCCAAGTATTAAAACATAAGTTACCGCCAACAATTCACAACCCATTACCACCATAAGTTCTGCAGCTTTTAAGGTAAAGGTAAAGGGAGCCCTGACAACCCCAGTCACGAATGACTCTGGGGTTGCGGCACTCATCTCACTTTACTGGCCAAGGGAGCCGACGTTTGTCTGCAGACAGTTTTTTCAGGTCATGTGGCCAGCATGACTAAACCGCTTCTGGTGAAACCAGAGCAGTGCACGGAAATGCTTTTACCTATGTGCAAATCACACTTCTCATTTTCGCATAGTGCAAACTCCCCAAATGTTAGGGAGCAACTTCTGAAAATGGAAATATGAGCAAGACCACCCAAAGCTAATTTGCTTCTTGATAGCAAATGAATGAACATTTGCTCACCTTACCCTACAAAGAATCGGGACATTGGCCCATCTAGCACAATAGTGCATGCACTGACTGGCAGTGACTCTTCAAGGTTTTAGATAAGGGATGTTCCCAGACATACCTGGAGGTGTCAGGGATTGAACCTGGACCTTTTGGCAGGCAATGTGTCTGCTACGGCCCTTCCTCAATCCTGCCTGCCTTCCTCCCAAACGTCAGTGGCATAACTTAAGGCTTGCGTGGCATCTTCAAGATGTGCACTCCATTCAAGGTGAGAAATGGCCAAGCCTATTAGGCCCTGCATAAACTGTAGAATCAGCCCCCACTGCACTGGACAAAGATGGAGAAGACTGGCAGTGATGGACAAGGCGTTTTTCAGGGATGCTTCTACACCATTACTGAGCTTCTCAGTGAAGAAAATAAAAATAATCCTGGAACACAGTTTGGAATCTGCCCAGTTGAGGGAAAATATGGATAGAAAATGGAATTCAAGTTAGGAATGAAAATGGGGACGACGACAACCAAACCCTCAGAAACCCTGATTGAAGCCACAGCCCAAACTAATTCCATGAGAGGAACTGTCACAGTACAAAGCATTTTTAGCAGTCAAGGTGCCCCAAAAATATTCTGTGCAAGTACATTTCCTTTGGCTAGCTGAGACCTCTCCTCACTGCTCTTGCTACAGAGGAATGTGGGTAACTTTCCACTGAGTTCTGCAGTTGGGGAGGCAGCAATCTTAAGTCACTCCTTCGCTTTAAGTAATGACCGTTTCTTGTTTTCCTTCTGTAATGAAATTCAAAGTGATGATAAAGTTGGAGGGAGACTGTAGAAGCACCAGTCTCACTCTCGTCGTTCTTGTGGAAAGACGAGTCTCCCTTCTAAGTTGTATCCTTCATGAAAGGCCATCTCAAGTTCAAAGTCCCGGAAGCACGAAAGCCCCCCTGAGACGTTTCACTAAGTTTGACTCTGCAGGTGTGTTTTTCCCCTTCTTCTTCCTGAGCAGGAACTTCTCAAGTTCACCTGACTGTAAAGCAAAGGCAGGGAGCCACCGATGGATGTGCAAAACTCATAATAAAAAATTGAGCTAGCTTGGCTATTTTATTTGAACTCCAGATCTACTTTAAGCAGAATTTGGGGGTAACAGTTCTCAGAAGGGTCCAAGAGCTTTATGCACCTATATTCACCAGCATCCGCTGTTCCGTCTGGATTTCAATCTGTACGCCCGGATCCTGTCTCACATTTGCTCTCCCCTCATAATCAGGCACCGTAAAATACTACGGCAGGTGAGCAGCAAGACGACACTTCCCCACAAACTATGCGCACAGGAACTTGCAACAGCTGGTAAGATGGAGACACGGCAGGGCTTGGTCTCCTTGCGCAAGGAGAAGTAGTGGCAGCTGTACGCGAACACAAATGAGTTCATAAACCTCTTCCCCTAACCCTCATCCCACCCTGCAATAGCGAATATTAGCAGAGGTCAATTCCGCCAAGGAAAAATGGCCTTAATCCTGCTTTTTCAAGAACAGAGGAGTCCAATGACATGGCCCTAGAAAAGTTCGACCTGGGATAAAATCCAGTGTCACACATTTGGCTTAAAGTGCACTAGCTTCCCATACTCAAAAAGAAGAACCCACTCTGTAGCAGTGTGGAAATGTACTTAGTTGAGATGATGTCCGTACTCTTTAAGGGTCCCTGGAATGCCCGCTAGCTGGCTGTTGACAGTCTGCTCAGTTGCTGTGTCAGATTTAGCCAGCTCCCTGAGTTTAAATAATGTCTGCCCCCCCCTTCATATTCGATTTAAAATTTCCATAGTGCTGACTCTTCAGAGAATAGGGAAGCTTTTGTGGAATGTTGCCCGGGAACATGCGGAGAGATAGGAACTATTGATCGGGTCGTAACTGAACTCCCAATGAAAACCCCTTTGATGCAGGTAAAACTCTGGTGCTGTCCTTAGAATAATTTCTGCAGGGAGGAGATACACATCCCAAGGGTGCCTCGGGTCTGTTGCACTGAAGTGCAGAGGCAGCGCACTTGAGAGGGATGCGATGAATTCATGGGATGCTGCCACAAGATCGCAAGAACTGGGTGCCTTTGCGCTCATCTCCTGCTTGCAGACTTCCAGCAGGAATCTGTGGGAACAGAACTGTTCTCCCACTGTGAGAACAGGATGCTGGAGAAGATGGGCCTTTGGCCTGAACCAGGAGACTCTTCTTATGTTCTTACAAACGCCAGCTGATAAAGCTGCCGCAAGATCCCTCCAGCACCTTGAGAAATTAACGATGCATTGCAAAGCACCAGTAGCGTGCAGAGTCAGTGAAGCACCATCTCAGACATGGTAGACCTCTTCTTCCAAGGCGTGGTTCACTTCCCCGCGTAGGTGGCTGAAGGTGTTGTTCCGAAGGATTTGCCAACCGCGGTGGAAACTACTCTGGGTTGTGCTCCGTGAGACGGTTGGAGATGGTTCCTTCCGGAAAGGATCGTCCAGCTCTAGCTTCCCGGATAACTTGTCCAGATCCTCTTTGTCTTGGCCCTTAAAGGCCTCTGCATAGCGGAGCATCTTCTGCTTGCTGGCATCCAAACGCTCTTCCACCCTGCGCGGATTAGAAACAATGAGGTGAAGGACTTTTCTCCAACTTCTACTACCAATAAGGCAAGCTTGGTGTTATCAACAGCAAGCTCTAACCAACAGAGCTGCAAGTCACTTAATGGTCTGACTTAGCTGCTTCCTATGTTGCCATTAGATAGAAGACAGATTAGATAGAGATAGATAGATAGATAGATAGATAGATAGATAGATAGATAGATAGACAGACAGATGATAGATAGACGATAGATAGATGATAGATAGATGATAGATATAGACAGATGACAAACAGACAGATAGCTGCAATTGCTGCGCCATCAAACTCATTCATTCCTGCATGCAAATACAGCACTAGACAAAAGGGACTTACCTGAGGAACCACCTGTCCCCTAGTCCATACTCTCGCCCACAGATGCCAGAGCGAGGCCAGAGGCATCGTGGCAGTTTCCGCTCAAGCATGACTGTAGTGGCCACAACCTGAAGAAGAACAGAAGGTCAAGGGGCAATCCTTCGACTTGACAGGTTCGTATTCAGAAATCAATCTGTTTCAGATTATCTGAATTTTAAACTTTACTGGATGCAATTCAGATGAATAATGGAGAACAACTACTTTAAAAAATATATATTAATGAAGTGATATTTGAGGTGATATAAGGCTATAAGGTAACATCTAGATCGTAGCTAGAGAAGCAGCAGCAGACACTATCAATAGCTACCATTTTTACACACTCAATCTACAGGAAGCCATTTTCATGACTACGGCCAGGTGTGCCAGCCAAGGGGCTGTGAAACACTTTGCCTCCCCCTTAAATGCTTAAGGAGGGGGCTGGGCCCCCTCAATGTTGAGCGGTGGCATGATGTGCCACGTCAGTGTGTCACAAGATGTGGTGCATGACTTCAGACATCGGCCCCCTTAAATAGCAGGGCAAGTTGGCTCTCCTGATTGTGGCCTTCCTCAAATAACTTGACCAAGTGCAGACTGAAGTGCTGAGAATTCTTGTTCAGAAATCCCCAGGCTGTCTACAGGACCAGAATTCCCAGAGTTCCTTGCCTGGGAGCCATGGAACTCAAACCAAACTGAAACCAGTGTAAATTTGCACATGTGTTAAGCAAGCAGAGGCGGCCTTTGTAGCACTTCTCATTCTCGTGCCACTAGAATCTCTGCCATGCTCACATTACGTTCTCACCTGTGCTCTCCAAAGCTCATCCCGTTCGCTGGCCACCCGCCAGTGGGTGTCGCCCATCATGGCAATAAGCAAGTTCAGCATGAGCAGAGTGGCAATGATGGCAAAAGCAAAGTACACTACGCTGAACATGAAAGGGAGGTCCACTTCGTAGTTGGCAGGTCCGTCAATGATGGTCAGGAACAGTTCGAAGGTGCTGAAGAGAGACATGGGGTAGTTGTAGAAATGGCCCACGCCATTAGGGTCCTCTGTCTGGAAGATGATGTAAAAGGCTGGTGGCGGAAGAAAGGAAGGAAGGAAGGACACAAAGAGGGCTGGTCAACTACAGAAGATGTCAAGGGAAAGGGCACAGGGTGCATTCTATTAATAATAACAATATTAGTAACAATAGCAGCAGTAATAATAATAATAATAATAATAATAATAATAATAATAAAAATAAACGCCTGCCCTATACCCATAGATCTCAGAGCAGTTCACAACATAAAATCACAATACAAAAAATCAGAAAATACATACTGTATTTTTTGCTCTATAAGACTCACTTTTTCCCTCCTAAAAAGTAAGGGGAGATGTGTGTGTGTCTTATGGAGCGAATGCAGGCTGCACAGCTATCACAGAAGCCAGAACAGCAAGAGGGATTGCTGCTTTCACTGCTTTTCACTGCAGAAAAGGCCCTTTCTTGTGCTACCACCCTCCTAACTTCTCATGGAGGAGGCACACGAATAAGGGCCTCAGAGGATGATCTCAGGGTCTGGGTAGGTCCATACGGAGAGAGGTGGTCCTTGATGTATTGTGGTTCTGAGCCGTTTAAGGCTTTATGGGTCAAAACCAGCACTTTCCAGAATTGTGTACTTTCCAGTTTATGGGCTGCATCTACTGTCACTGAACCTACACTATCGAAGGCACATTAACACCATGTCTTTTGCTTCTCTTTCCTAGCTTCCTTGCCTGTTGACTCCATGCCAATACAGTGGTGCCTCGCAACACAAAAGGAATCCGTTCCGCGATTCTTTTCTTCTAGCAATTTTTTCGTCTTGCGAAGCAACCCCATTGGCGGCTAAGCGGATTAGCGCTATTAGCGATTTAGCGGGCTTAGCGGCTAAGCTATTAAAAGGCTATTAACAGCTTAGCGGCTTTGAAAAAGGGGGGGAAAGCGGGGGGGGGGGAAATGGCGAGACTCGCAAGACGTTTTCGTCTTGCGAAGCAAGCCCATAGGGAACTTCGTATTGCGAAGCGCCTCCGCGACGGAAAACCCTTTCGTCTTGCGGGTTTTTCGTCTTGCGAGGCATTCGTCTTGCGGGGCACCACTGTAGTACACAGTTCCCTGCTCTCTCAGGGTGAGGTTCCACTCCAGCTTTCCCCCCCTCCTTTTGTCTTTGCTCAGTTCCATACTCCTTCCACTCAGTTCTCTGCATCCACCACTACATCCTTCCTGCAGATCTCTTCTTCTTAATCTAGCACTGCCTCTGTCCCTCTTCCTTCAGGAACCCTATCTTTGGAAGCTCAGTTCCTCTGAGCTCCGTTCTTGCCTTGTAAAAACTGATATGAATCCCACGGCCACTCAACGCACCCATCCGTTTCTGTCTCACCTGATGCAAAGCCAAGTATCACAACCGCCATTAGGCCACAGAAGCGTATAAGATCTCCAAAGATCATCTGAAGGAAGGAGAGAAATGAGATGTTGTGAAATCCAAGCTGTCCACAGTACAGTTATTTTCCACCCAATAAATATCTAGTTTGGACATTTAAAGGAAGACTAGGTAGGTTCTCAGGCTATAAGGTAAAGGTAAAGGGACCCCTGACCATTAGGTCCAGTTGTGGCTGACTCTGGGGTTGCGGCGCTCATCTCGCTTTATCGGCCAAGGGAGCCGGCGTACAGCTTCCGGGTCATGTGGCCAGCATGACTAAGCCGCTTCTGGCGAACCAGAGCAGCACATGGAAACGCAGTTTACCTTCCTGCCGGAGCGGTACCTATTTATCTACTTGCACTTTGACGTGCTTTCGAACTGCTAGGTTGGCAGGCGCATCATGGGGATTCGAACCGCCGACCTTCTGATCGGCAAGCCCTAGGCTCAGTGGTTTAACCCACAGCGCCACCCGCGACCCTTCGCAGGCTGTAGCTACCCTCAAATTGCCAGCTCCAGATTGCTGGAACAGATAGGCCATTAGTCTGATTCAGCATGGCAACTCTTAGGACGCTTTGGAAAAAACCTGTTGGCATTTAAGGCATTTTACTCCTGCTTTTGGAGTCTATTCCTGCCATGGCCAGCCATTTTAGCCCTTTCTACGCAACAGATTCTTCTGGAAGGAAGTTTAGATAGGAGGCAAATGGGAGACAGAATCTTGAATTCGTGTATCTGTATTTGCAACAAGGCCAGCTGGCATTCCTCACCTTCTGTATCATAATGGTGAAGGGGCCAAGCATCTGAAACCCTCGAGCGAAATACATGATGTTGCACCAGCCCAGAACCAAGGCACAGGACATGGGTACCACCTCTCCATCGGTGCTTGTGAGTCGCATTACCATGGTCACCAGGATCAAACATGCATACACAATGCTGCAAAGGAAATGGTACGGTCAGGAATGTGGACATCTACAGGCGGTTATCCCACTGTCAGGGACTGGCTGGATGAGAAAGAGTGGTGGGAGCCGCCCACCCAAGAGCCCCCCAAGGAGGACACAGAAGAAGACAACTCAGATCCTGGTGGTGGAACACTGAAGAGCAGTCTGCAGAAGGGACAAGCTGGAAGGTGCTAGAAGCAGGGGATTGAGCGATCAAGAAGGGCAAGAGCCTTCCAGGAAAGGCTTAGAAGATGAAAGTCACAATGGGAGTGCAGATTCAGACAGAGAGGAATCAGAGGAACCCTGCTACACAGCGGCAGGACACTCCCAGTCCTGCTGGCTAGTCTCCCCCTCTGACATCTTGATTGAGGAGAATGCTGTACATGGCTGAGCAATGGGCCAGACAGGCCCAGAGGAGGAGTTCGCCCCCTTGACGCAGCCTTCGTCTGCTTGGGAGGGATCTAGCGTGAAAAGATGGAGGGGAAAGAATGGAGGTAGATCTTACTCTAGGAAAAACCCAGCGAACAACCTAGAGGCTATTGCTGTCTCCTCTTGAGAGACTAGCTTCTCACTAGCTTCTCTCGAAATTCCTCAGAACTACAAGCTGAGGAATAAAACTGACTAATTCACTCACATTTTGACTTCAGGCAGAAAATGTTAGTTGCGACTCTCTGAGAGAGATTTCCAAAGAAAGAGATCTGGGATAGGAAAGGAGGGTTTTGGAGATGTAGAGACTCACATGATGATGTGGAAAGGTCCTCCCAGGATGGTTCGTCCAAAATACTTAGTGGCTCCAACTCTTAAAATATCTGGAATCTGAAACAATTGCACCAGTTAGAAAGGAACAGCTGTTTTTCACCCAGAGCTGGAGCTACTTGTGCCCTCATAGCAATTTGGTCTAGCCCAGCAGCCTACCCTCTTTATGATTATTTTTTATTATGCTGCCTATTATTATGCTTTATATTGTGTAATTATTATTATTATGCTCCATAAAATGTGTTCTTAATGTTGTACAACGTCCTGGGATCTTTTGGTAAATGGTGGTATATAACAACACCACCTTTGGCTTTTCCGTATCCTAAATACCAGTTTAAGGGTCTAAGGGGTGTTAGGGAAGAGATTGAGATCTGTTGTGGAAGTGATATGCTCCCCAAAATAAGTAATTTTAAAATATAAGCTTCCCCGAGTCTATTGAATAAAGTCAAGCATAGATCACATGGATAGTAGTGGCAAGGTAGAATCTACTCTAGAGATATGGGGTGTATTGGCCAAACACTTCCAAGCAGGCAGCATAAATACCACAAACTATATTTGACTCAATGCATAAAATCAACAACAAGTTGGATTGCCTTCTTTCAGTCTGCAAGATAGGTAGCTGCTGATTATAGTAATCAAGTCATGTATAGTTTGCACTGTTGTTTGCTAGCAGTTGGAAGTGCTTGGGCCAAACTACAGTGCCCATGCTTTTCTGGAGGAAGTGTTGACAACTGAACTGGTTTCAAAATTTTGTAATCTAGATATGCTCTATTAAAGCACAACAGTTCAGTGCCGACCCAAATGGAAGATGGAGCTCCTGGACTGGCTTTGGTTTCGTTTGAACAATAGCTGTTGCTGGTTTTCCTCACCTCTAGGAGCAAAATTGCCATGGCTCCTATCACAGTGATCAGCTCCCCCACCAGCCTGAGATGATCTTCATATGTCTGATAGGACTCCTAAAAACAGAGAAGAAAGGACGACTGGTTAGTGAATGAATAAGGAGATGAGAAAGCCCTGAAAAAGCGACACATTGAACTTGGAAAGGCTCAACCCTTGATTTCCCCCCATTGCTTCTAGGCATCTTTAAAAAGAGGGTTTTGTTTTTTACATTGCTTTGTATTCATATTCTTCTGTTTTCTTTCTGTTCTTGTTTCAGCTTTGAACGTTCATAAATGTTGTTTACTTTGCACTTTGCAGGCACAATTAATAACTTTAAAAAGACCACAGCCAATAAACTTTTACATGGATAAATACATAGTTGGAATGCACCCGGGTTTCCTGCATTATCTCTTTGCCCTCTCCAAACTCTCCCTATGGCGATAGATGCAATAAACTCACTGAGATGGAAGAGTGGATTGCTGCCATTTCAGGCTGCAGGTGGGGAGATGCAATTTTTCAAAATGTGGAACTTCAGGGAGAAAGGTTCCAGCCTAGCTGTGTCTCTGCTATGGTAGTTATTTTAAGTATTAAAAGGTAAAGGACCCCTGACAGTTAAGTCCACTTGCGAATGACTCTGGGGTTGCGGCGCTTGACGTTTGTCCGCAGGCAGTTTTTCCGGGTTATGTGGCCAGCATGACTAAGTGAAACCAGAACAGCGCACGGAAATGCCATTCACCTTCCCGCTGGAGTGGTACCTATTTATCTACTTGCACTTTGACGTGCTTTCGAACTGCTAGGTTGGCAGGAGCTGGGACAGACCATCGGGAACTCACCCCATAGCGGGGATTTGAACCGCCAACCTTCCGATCGGCAAGCCCTAGGCTCAGTGGTTTAGACCACAGTGCCACCCGCGTCCCTTTATTTTAAGTATGGATGTATTGAAAAGTGAGATACACCTTTCCCCACCTGTGATCTTAAATGGTATAAAGCCCTTTTAATTCTTTTAGGGTTTTACTATTTGTTCCTGCCTCGTTTTGCAGCATGCATGGATTCACCGAGAAACGTGGACCAATAGAACAGGCCTGTTTATTTATATAAGAGGCTATTAACAAAAATAATTGAATTTTAACAGGACGACACACACACATACACACCTGCAGCGTTTTCTGCAAGGCAATGGTTATGTCCCGCTCATCTGTTTGGTTTTCTGACCGTGATTTCAGAGGTCTGTAAATGCAGGACAGGGTGAAGCAGATAATGTACAGGACATAAAATAACGCCAGGAAGCAGAAGTATGGGCGCCCATAAGTGTTCCACTTCAGACTCACAAGCTCCTTAACTGGCGTGATGTCAAGGATGCGACGAGCCTGTTGGGAAGAAGCAGAGATTGACTTTAGCTCCAAAAGACATTTCTTAATGGGACACAGTTTGAAGGGAGGTTGGAAGAAACATTTCTACAAAAAATGTATCTCCACAAAGCGCTCTCTCTCTCTCTCTCTCTCTCTCTCCTTTCCATCCCAAGTGAGGGCGAATTCTTAGAGGAGAATGAGTGCAGGTTTCTGCAAACATTTGGCAGGGCAGCTTTCCAAAGCATGAACAAAAGGGTTAGACTGCTTATCTGTCGTGAACAGGGATGGAGGAGAAATATGATTCAGTTTGCATTTAAAGCTGAATCTCTCAGATCCATACTTTCTGAAACGTGCAAACCAAAACACAGTCGTCTTTGAAATTCCACACTGATCTGAATTTTGCTATGGAGTTCTCCAACCGACAGTTGTTTACAAAAATGCATGCATCAGGGGGACATTAAAAAAATTAAGACACTAGTGAAAGTTAATATACAAAAAATGCATTCACTCAGGCGAAATAGCTTGCGAAAAGCTGTACACAAGTCAAAACTGCATATAAAAACGCGTTTATTAGGAGAAATTCACCCTAAAACGCTAATGATTTTCAAACTGCTGCAAAACATAAGAAAACTGAATTTTAGCTTGGGCAAATGAGAAACTAGGAAAATTTAAATGGACAGTTCTTTCCATCCCTAGTCTTGAGTGGTTGTGTGTATGTGTCCTAGTGCAACAGAGAGCAGATTAGATGGCTGTAGGTAGAGGTGTGGGGCCCAGATATGAAGAGTTGTGCCTTTTTCTGCTTAAAGGGGAAGCTCTCTACCACAACACCTAGATGGTGTTATTCTTTGCCCTTCGCAACACACAAATCCTGCTTCTTCTTTGAAAGATTTAGCTTTATATCTTAAGTCACTATTCCCTGCTGAAAGGAACCCTAAGTAGACATATTACGACATTTCCACATCCATGCCCCTTGCTCCCTTTACTGCCTCCCTTGTCTCTGGTATATTTCACTACTTTACTGTCTTAGGTTTTACATGGTAAGTTCTTTAAAGCAGGAAGATCCCATTTATTTACGTTACACTGTTGCTGCAGAAGTTGCAGAGAAAATGATGATAATTATAATGTTGGTGAGGTGGTAATAGATAAAATGATGGCAGGGGAACAACACACGGAACCAATGGCACAGTCCACCCGGAAACCCTCCTCTGCAGGCAACCTTGAGATGAATGGGAGCTGAGCAGCAGCACCGGCACCAACTGCACCTCAAAGGCAGCTGGGAAACTTGGCAAGCTCCTGCCAGAGTTCAGAAATGTGGAAATGCATTTCCTTTCCTCCCACAACGGGGCATATTTCTGTGATGTGCAAGCGATTCTGCTTCTGCAGCCCACAAACCGCTCTGAGGAGGGAAATCTGTAGACTACTGTGACTCAAGGAATCTGCGGTGGGGAGAAGCCACGCCTTATAGGGCTTCTTCCCAAATGCCTGTAGAGTTGCTAGGGGAAGGGGGAAACTGCAAGAGAGTCTCGCACTTCTATTCACTTTCCCTGAAGGAGCAGAGGAGGTGAAATAGGGCCCTGCCCTCACTTTCTCTGTCGGTCATGAAAGCTTGGGGGTAGGGGGAGGCACTCTCCACTGGCCAGATAGTGACAGGATTTGTCCTTTGGGAATGTCTACAGACATCATATAATAATAAGACAAGTCATTTATTGGGTTTGAAGACCTTACAAAGGAAATGCTTTTGCCCAGTATAGCAATTAATCCTCGTGATGTGTGTGGGTGTGTTTATATGGCATACCTTCCAACATTTCTCTGATGAGAATAGGGACGTCCTATTCCATCATCATCATCATCAATACCCTGCCCATCTGACTGGGTTGCCCCAACCACTCTGGGCAGCTTCCAACAGATATAAGAGCATAATACAGTGGTACCTCAGGTTACATACACTTCAGGTTACATACGCTTCAGGTTACAGACTCCGCTAACCCAGAAATAGTTCTTCAGGTTAAGAACTTTGCTTCAGGATAAGAACAGAAATTGTGCTCCAGCGGCGCGGCGGCAGCAGGAGGCCCCATTAGCTAAAGTGGTGCTTCAGGTTAAGAATAGTTTCAGGTTAAGTACGGACCTCCGGAACGAATTAAGTACTTAACCCGAGGTACCACTGTAAAACATTTTTTAAAAACTGGGCTGTCGTCAAAGGGCTCAAGAGGTTGGAAAAACTCCATACCCTCCAACATTTCCCCAATGAAAATAGAGACGTCCTGAGGAAAAGCGGGACATTCTGGGATCAATCAGAAACTCGGACTGCTTCTGCAAATCCAGGACTGTTCCTGGAAAATAGGGATGCTTGAAGGGTCTGGTGTTGGGGAGGGAGGCAAGGTTAAACTCAGGGTGCAGCTTAGGGCTGGTCCTATCAGGCAAGAGATCTGGATGAGAGCAGACCTTTATTTTCTACCGCACATGCAAACATCTCTTGGCTTAGTCCTGATATATATACTGGAGGAAGTATCTACAAAAGGGTAACAGCAGTTTCCTGGTGGGCCAAGAAAGTGAACAAGAGTGGCAAGGAATTTAAAAAAAGGTGGGGGAGAGATAAAGGGTCATAGGTCAGTGCTAGGGAGCCTGTGGTCCTCTGGATGTTGCTAGCCTCCAAATCCCACCATCCCTAAGCATTAGAATTGCTGGCTGGGGCCAAAGGGACTGGAATGCAACAACATCTGGAAGGCCACAGGTTCCTCATCCAGGGAAAAAGAGGCCTTCAAACATGTTGCTGTGAACAGTAGGCGCATAAAGTTAGCAATAAAAGGGAGAATGGAACACAGAGGTGGGGAAGTTTGCTCACCAGGCTGCGAAGGCAATCTTTTTTTATTGGAGTTTTAACAGCCAGCATAAATGCAACTTTGCTTATCTGAAACCGCCACCCAAGATTTACAGTAATATAGGTGCCAAAAAGGTAGAACAGGGGAGGGAAAGTGGGAAATGTTTACAGAACAATGTGGAAAATGGGATTATAGCTTCTCGTGACTTCTGCTAGCAACTGATGTCATTAATAGATAGGCCCAAAGAGTTGTACGACACATACTTCAATGGGGATGCCAGATAATACCTTTGTTATGTGCTGGTGCTTGCAAGAGATCTGCTACCTTGCCATGATAAATTAATTTAATAAAAGAGAGGCAACCTAGGACAGGGGCAGGCAGATGGGAGAGAGGGACGGTGGAAGCAGGCACTTCCACATGGCAGTTTACTGCTAAGTGTTGCTAATCCATGCATGTTTTGTGCAAAACCATCAGTCCAACTGGCTATATCCTATGCACAAGATCAGTATCCCTTCGTTGTTGGATACCGTGCATGTTTTATGCAGCTTCCACAGGACATCATCCTCATCAAAATGCCATGCCATATCATTTCCACCGTTTAATCTGGATTTATACCGTTTTGGGGGATTAAACAGGGAAACAAAGTCCAAAATCATGTGGCAGGGACTCCAATTTACTGTTAAAACATGAAATTGTGCTGATGTGTATACAGTACAGGCCGACGATTACCCATGGGTGGTATCTAGGATTTGTAATTTATGCTCAGAGGCAAATCCTATAAATGAAGTAGGAAGCAGCAGAGGGCGCATGGGGGGCGTTAATTACGGTATTTTTACGCCCCAAACTCAAATAAGCCAGAGTTTTTCAAAAAATTAGAACAAGTTTTAATAGAATTAGAAAACAACAGGACGATACTACTGGGAGATTTTAATGCTGTGCCAACTCCAGAAATCGATAGACAAACAGAAAAGGGGAAAAAGAACCAAGGGAAGCTGCCAAAGTCCTTCCAAGACTTGGAAGAAAATATGGACTTAATAGATATCTGGAGATATAAACATCCAATAGAAAAGCAGTTTACCTTCTTTTCAGAAGTACATAAGAGCTGGGGCAGAATAGACCAAATTTGGACGTCGAGAGAACTCTCCTTAAGAGCTACGAAATGTGAAATTCACCCGAGAACTCTCTCAGACCATAACTCAATAACATTGGAACTAAAAAGTGAATTAAAAGGCGGCTTTAGATGGAGACTAAATGAACAACTCCTAGAGGACGAGGAAGTCATCGGAAAAGCAAAAGCCACTTTAAAAGATTACTTTGAACTGAATCTTAACACAGGAGTGAGCTCAGAAATAACCTGGGACGCCAGTAAGGCGGTGCTGAGGGGCTTCTTCATTCAGCAGAACAGTTATAAAAAGAAATTAAGGCAACAAAAGAAAGAAGAGATCCTCAATCACATAAGGCAGCTAGAGAAAAAACTGATAGAGAACCCAAAAGATATACAAAGCATACAAGTAATTAAAATTCTACAGACACAATATTCGATGTTAGTGAACCAAGAAATCGAATGGAAAATCAGGTTAATGAGACAAAGATATTTTGAATCAGCCAACAAAATTGGAAAATTATTAGCGTGGCAACTGAGGAAAAGACAAAAACAAAGTGTGATAAATAAAATAAAAGTAGAAGAAGAAATAGTAGAAGATCCAAAAAAGATACAAAAAAATTTTATGGAGTTCTATGAAGGGCTATATAAAAAAGGAGAGGAGGACGCAACCTTAATAGAAAAATACTTAGAGAACTGTGAAGGGAGGACTTTAACGGCCGAAGAGAAAATACAGCTAAACAAACCCATAAATATAGAGGAGATCCAGAATGCAATTAAAAGAATGAAATTGGGGAAGACTCCAGGCCCGGATGGCTTATCAGCAAAATACTATAAAGTCCTAGGAAACCAACTCGCGCCAGCCCTCTGTGAAGTTATGAATGATATTTTAAAGGATGGAAAAATACCGGAGTCATGGCGGGAGGCTTTCATAACCTTAATTCCAAAATCGGACACCGACAAATTAAATATCAAAAATTATAGGCCAATATCTCTATTAAATAATGACTATAAAATATTTGCGGACATAATGGCAAACAGGTTGAAAAAACATCTAACGGATTTAATCCACAAGGATCAGGCCGGTTTTTTGCCGA